GGAAGGGAGAAACAAGAACAGAGCAAAACCAAAGGGGACCCAAGACTTTCAAGCAGAGCCTTTCCACGCCGCCGCATGAGAAAACAACAGATGTGTGAGGACCATGGAGACCCGGATCTGCAGCTTCTCTTTTTAAAATGAGCAACCTGCCCACGCGAGGGCGTCTTGCCCAACGGAGGAGTCGGAACCTGCCTCTTTGAGTAGAGGCCTCGCCCCTCCCTCGTGCTTTCCCAGCCCATAGACTGTGGCTTCCCTTCCGGCCCGCCTGCTCGTCCGGGGCATCTGTCTAGCGGCAGACGTGTTGGAGTTTTCAGGCTCTGCTTGTTCCTCACAACCCCCTCCCCACCCACCCGTTTAGCTGCACATTCTCTCATTCATTCACAGCCGCACCCACACATCTGCTCCCTGGGTGGTCTCCTCCACCAGGCTTTGTGCCAGGCATGGAGGATCCAGGCGGGGTTTCAAACTCCCACCCGGCACACAAAGGTACGGGGAGGCCCCAGACTGGGGCTGCCCGTTCCTCCACGTGTTCGTTCAAGGGGCTTCCACAAGCCAGCCCTCCCGTGGCACCCGTGGGCCCCCCTTCCTCGGATGGCAGGCCCTCCAGGAGCACAGGATCAGGGGTGGGGAGGGCAGGTCCGGCCGTACCGGAGTTGTCCTCATCCTTCCGGACCTTCAGCGTCACCAGGTCCTCGCACTGCCGCAGGATCTGCATGGCATCCTCCATGGGGCAGTTGTTCAGTCGGATGTTGTCGATGGCCAGTAGCTTGTCACCTGGCTCGAGGGTGCCCGTCCTGCGCAGGTGGACGTGGGGATTGCAAGAAGCATGGCATGCAGAAACTGTAACCCTCCCCCACCCCCACGGCCCTTGCCCAAGCCTACCTATGTGCGACACTGCCTTTCTTGATGTCCGAGATGATCAGAGGCTCCCCTCGCTTCCTGCTGCTCGCTGGAGAAAAGGGGGCATGGGTCCAACCTTCAACTGTCTCAGTCTTGGGATGGCCATGTCCCAGGGTACGGCGAGGTGGTGGGGCAAGAGCTCTGGGCTCTGCTGCCTGCTCACATCCTGGTCCCCTGGCTTCCTGGCTAGGCAACTGAACGTAAAATCAACTCAACTTTCCGTACCTCGGTTTCTCTTCTTTAGAAGCAGGGTTGCTGGCATGAACCCCCGTGGGGGTGCTGTGAAATGAGACTAGATACTGCAGGCACAAAATCTAGGGTGCTGCCGAGTTCATAGTAGGTGCTCAATAAATACCACTCTTTCCTCTGCCAGCTAAGCCTACCCCTCCCCTGCCCCCCACCAAACTGTGAGCTCCTTGGAGGGTGGGCCTAGCTCATATCTGTCTCCCAGAACCTACTCTGTCCTACTATGAATTAAGCACCTGCAGCTGGGCCCTGGGAACACAGTGTTTATTACCTAGAAAACCAAACCACTCTGAACTAAGGGGGCCTCACCCACCACAGGCCCCAGGAGACCTGTGAGGCCGGGCATTCCCACCTCGGAATTAGAAGTTGAGGTTTTGGGGAAGTTGGAATCAAGCTGGAAGATACGCACAAAGTGGACCAGGATCAACATGAGGCAGCCCCGATTGTAGCGCCCCCCCCCCCAGCTGTGCCGTGGCCCAGCTGCCCCTGAAATGCTGATTGGAGCAACCAAGCCCTCCCCAGCCCCCAGCCCCTGAGCAGCAGTGACAAGCTCTTTGTGGGAGCAGCTGAGCCTTGAGGGGCCATGGGGAGGGCTGAGCAGGGGAGGGGACTCACAGCTGATGGTGATGCCCAGCTCCACACCCCGCCTCTTGGGAAGCTTCACGTGGAAGGTGCCGCTGCTTGGGATGACGGACTCTGGGGACACACACGGATGACATGAGACCCCCGGGGTCCCACTCTGGGCACATCAGGTCCTGCTGGGAGGGAGCACCAACAGCCACCACCACGGCAGCTGAGGGAGCTGAGGCACAAAACCAGGCAGATTTGCCCAAGACAACCAACTCACCCGGTCAGAGCAGAGAGGGGGTTTGAACCTCCCAGCGAGCGCCTCCAGGGTCAAATCCAGCCCCCAGGGCCAACTAAAAACGACTCGATGCCAGGCTGAGGTGGGCTTGTTTCCCGGGATTTACATCATAACCCTAGACACACCTGCTGGGCATGCGTTGGGCTGCTAACTGCAAGGTCAGCGATTCGAAATCACCAGCTGCTTCTTGGGAGAAAAACCAAGAGCTTCTACACCCATAAAGAGCGACAGGCTCAGAAACCCACCGGGGCAGTTTCCATCCTATCCTAATGGGTGCCAGGGGTCGGAATCAACTCAATGGCGGTGAATTTGGATTTTTTAGAATCGGAGCCCTACCCCACCCCATAGTGTGGAAGGAATCGTTTTACAGAGGGAAAGTGTCCTATCCAAAAATCACAGGGCCTAAATCACAGGAGCAGAATCCTAACACAAGTCATTTGGCATTCTTTGCCTATCCCATGCAAATCAGAAGCCGGGAGCTGTTTGCTGTTTTCAGAGCCCACCAGGCTCTGCTTCACTACAACGTCTCTCATCAACCCAGCTCAATGTGGGGAGCACCTTCCTCCCCAGCGAGGGGGACCTTTCTCTGTACCATTAGTGCTCAGTCAGAAACTGTCCCTGGGGGCAGGTGAGTAGGGTGGGGTGGGAGAACCTTTGCTGGAGGCAGGAGCAGAATGCTGACGGGAGGAAACAAAGGGGCTGCAAGAAGGGTCCTGCACTCACCTGCCACATCGAACTCGATCTCCAACACAACCTTGTGGGCCAGAGCAGCATCCCGCAGCAGCTGGTTGGCTTCCTCCATGGTTCCATCCTCTGTGGCAATGCCATTGATGGAGAGCACACGGTCCCCCACCTGCAGCAGCCCACACCTGAACCGGGGGCAGCCCCGCAGGGAAGAGGCTGGCATCAAGGCTCCAGGGAGAGACAGGATCCTGGGCTGCACAGGGGCATGCCCAGCTCTGGCTGCCCCGACTGCCTGCCTGGGGCTTTCCCTCCCCAGCTGGGTTTGCTTCTCAGGTCTGCCTGGATGAACTGTCTCCTCCAGCAATCTGCCATAGGGCTCTGGCCAAGTAAGGGCTTGGGCTTGTAGGACCTGCTTTGTCTAACCAGTGGAGACGATGACATGGGCCTTAGAAAATGGATAGGCAGGGTGCTGAAGTCCATGGACTCTATCAAGTCCCGGGAATGCCAATCACGAGCTACGTGACTCTGAGTCAGCCTCTCTGAGCCACTGTTCCTTGTCTATGAGATGGTGCCGACAGATATCTTGGTTATATGAGATAGGCTTCTGAAGGCTGGGACGTGGTGTGGACTCAGTTTCCCTGGTCATCTGTGGGCCCCTGATTTAGAAGATTAATGGGCACAGGGACGAGCAGCAGGCTCACCTCTCAGCCGGACTGTCGGGCTCGATGAAGCGCACAAGGGGTGGGGAGGACAGAGTCTCGGTAGCAAAGATGCCACCCTGGAGCTGAAGGCCGAAGCCGCTGAGGGGGTCTCCGCAGAGCACGATCTCGGTGGTCTCTGTGTGCACGATCTGTCCACCTGGTCCCACTGTGCTGGAGGCCAGTGACACTGTGGGGCAGGTGAGCATGGGTACTCAGGTAGATCACCCTGTGGGGCCTTCCTGCCTACCCACCCGAGTCTGAAACCTGGAGACAGATACCAGTCCGTAAGCATCCTGCCTAAGCTGTCCTGAGCCTTACATAGGAAACAAGGTGCCCACCCGGCACGGCTGGCACCACTGGGACTGCTCTGATGTCAGACAAGAGACTTTCAGGTCCCCACTGTTATGTTCTATTTTGACGTTAGCACAAGGGTAAGTCCATGCAGTGCTCTCACATTCTAGACACTTGTATTCAACAAACAGTACAGCACACGAGGCTGCCCTTCGTTGATCTCGCCTCCACCTAGGCCCACGCCCATCTGAAGCCAGGGTTTCCATCAAGGGTCGTGAGTGTTTGAACTGTCCCCCCAAAGAACGCTGTGCTCTTGGACCAACATCACCACCCACGACAGCTTCAGCATCTGCCTGGGACTCCAATCATATTCTTTTTCTATGTTCTTTGAGTCTGGAGAACAACACAAAGCCTGAAAGGGGCAAGACCAGGGCTACAGGGTGCGTGGGGTGCATTTATTCCCAGTCCTCAAAGGGCAGACCTCACCGTGCTCCAAGAAAAGAGCGTATTCACGACTTTCTCGACCTTTTCTCACCGATGCCGTTTTCCGTTTCCTTAAAATGTCTTCTTCACGGTTGTCCTGTGCCCTTTGAGAAAAACTTCAAGATTACCCACCCCCCCAAAAAAAAAAAACCCAAACAGTCTCCATAACCTTCTGAGCCGCCCTCCCTGTCTTGAATTTAACTAGTCTAGTGAATCCCCTAGTCCTGTCTTGATCGGATCTTGCTCTCTGGATAGCACTGGTGAATCCAAGACTCATCCCTGGTTATGATTTTGCTCCATAGAATCATCTTCCTGTCTTCCATCTTGCTGGAGAGATGGATGGCGAGATCAGCTCTCTGAGCCAGCGGATTTTCACACAATGGTCTTGGCACCCACTGAGCCCAAAGCTTGTGGGGGCCAAGATGGTCCTTCGCTGTTGAAAATGCCAAAAAGAAAAGAACATGCCAATCCATGGGTGAGGCCAACTTCCTTAGCTGCTACATCGACGGTATTTCTAGTTTCCTTCCACCGCCACTTGCCGAGCCTTCACCCACAGTTTCTTCACTGGTCGAAGTGAATGGTCTTCCCACCCTTGGCTCATCTGTGAGGTCTCCCCACCATTCCTTAAAACACTCGAACCATCTGAAACTGTCTTCTGAGGGGCCCTATCGTATACACTCATTGCATCTTTCCAATGCTTTTGGAAGATGTCCACTTGGGTTTTGATAAAAATTCGCTATTAACGCTGACCTCAAAATCCTTTTTTAGTCCGTTCCCCAGCCCCCTCCCATAGCACAAAAGAAACCTTTGAGATGGAATCGATGTGATAGCCATGAGATTGCTTTTGTCTTTTGCCTCTCTCAAGAGAGACGAAGGTAAGGGCATTCCTGAGAGAAACTTGGCTGCAGCCCCTGGTCACAGAGGCATGCTTAAATATGCGTTGTTTGCAATAAACTGGTGCCTGCGTGAACCGGTACCCTCGCAGCAATACTTATTGACTCACCCTGGCATACACTATTTTTTAAAAAAACAATGCTTTTTAACATTGCTATGGGGCTGGTTCTGACTCGTGGTGCCCCCCCCCCCCCCCCCCCTGTGTTACAGAGATGTGCTACCCAGGATTTTCTGGGCTGTCATCTTCCTGGAAGCAGGTCACGCAGGCCTTTCTTCCACAGTGCTGCCGTGTGGGTTCAAACCCAACGTGACCGCCAAGTCCACTTGGATTCACAGGGACCCCATCAAACAAAGCAGACCTGCTCCACGGAGACCCCAAGGCTGCCATCAGTGTGGAACCCACAGCCACATCTTCCCCGAAGACCAGCTGGTGGATTTGAACTGTCGTCTGGGTTAACAGCCCAGCGCTTGAACCACTGTTCAAGTATGTACCTTAACGGTGGCACAATGGTCAAGCACTCATCTGGTAACCAGAAGGTCAGTGGTTCGGCCCCACCAGCTGCTCCACGGAAGAGAAAGTCGCAGCCTGCTTCTGCAAAGGTTTACAGCTTTAGAAACCAGACGGAGGATAGGTCTATTTGGTCCTACAGCAGTGGTTCTCAACCTTCCCGTGCCAAGACCCTTTAATACGGTTCCTCATGTGGGGGTGGTGACCCCCAACCATAACATTATTTCCATTGCAACTTCACCACTGTCATTTTGCTATTGTTATAAATTGGATGACCCCTGTGAAAGGATCGTTTGACCCCCAAAGGGGTCGCGACCCACAGGTTGAGAACCACTGCCCTACAGGCTCCCTGTGAACCTGAATTGACTTGACCATGGCGGGTTTTCTTCTTTGATATTATGTTATGTTGTTTGGGGTATCATCTTCACTGAGATACATAACTCGGGACCTAACGCTCATTTAAAGTGTATCGTCCAACGGTTTTCGGTATGCTCACAAACTTGCGTGCGATGTCCCCCATCATTCCTCAGACACGTTCCTGTCATTGCAGTAACAAGCCCTGCTTGTTCCCATTAGGTGTCCCGCCCAGTGTTCCCACTGCCACCAGTCCTTGGGAACCATCTGGTAATCCACTTTCTTCTCTAGGCATCTGCCCATTCTGGACTTGTCACGTGAATGAACCAGGTAGCATGTGGCCTCTGTGACTGCCTGCTGTCGCTCGGCACATTTACAAGGTGCGTTCACGCTGCGGCCCGTGTCAGAGCTTCATTTCTTTCCATGGCCCCCTAGCCGCTCGTCAGTGGATGGTCACGGGGTTGCTTCCACCTTTGGCAACAATGCAGCCATGAACAGTCACATGAAAGTTTTCCTGTGAGCATATGTTTTCATTCCTGTTGAGTATACACCTAAAAGAAGTTGCTGGGTCAAGAGAGAAATATAATATTTAACTGGCTGGGGTGGCGTAGCTTCAAAAATATCGTGGAAACTTCCCATTAGGCTTCAATTCCCTTTTTCCATGAACTCTCCAAGGTCCTCTCATATTATAGTACGACTACAGTATTTATTATATATGAAAGGGCACTGGTGGCACAGTGGTTAAGCGCTCAACGGCTAACCATAGCAGTGGTTCAAACCCATCCAGCCACTGGGTGGGTGGAGGACGTGCCAGTGGGTTCCTGTACATTTGCAGCCTTGGCAAGCTGGTGGGCAGTTCTACTTTGTCCTCCGGGGCAGCTAGGGGGCGGTGGTTTTTTGGGTATTACATAGGAAATAAAGTTTACCGCTATCTTCACTCTCTTACAAAGTAGATACCATTGTACTACTACTGTATTACACATTATAGTTTATATGACATACCACAATAAGTTAAAAGTACCATGTCAAGCGTACTACGTCATGACCTATAATTTCATTATGAGAGCCTTAATCATAAGAATGGTGACTGGCGCATCAGAGGAGGTACTAAAATTATTTGATTAAACTGTTGAATTGCT